TCGAGTCAATAACTTTTCCAGTTTTTTGTGGTAAAATTAGGTGCCTCGGCTTATATTTGGGTCGGCCTATACTCGAGTATATACGGTACTCTTTCCTCTTTGGCCCTCGGCAATATAACTAGTTTCCTGTAATTAGGGATGGGATGAAGGTCAAGTCAGGGAAATGGTAATCACAGCTATGTGTTACCTGGAAGATTTACACACCTAAGGGTATACTTTGGCATAAAGCAATGCTCCTTCCTGAAAAGCCATTCCAATCAAAATTCAGGCAATGTCTATTCAGTAACATTTGCACAATCTACCCTTGTCAGGAAAAACTTGAACTTTGCACTTTGGCTGGCTAAAAGGCTAACTGCCTTGTTGAATCCTGGCTATGGAGAGTGGGTGATGCTACTAACTTTCCAGCCTCTACAGCTAGGGTCTTTAAAAAGCTGCCTTCCCAAGTCGGGAGCAACAATCAAATAATATAGCGAAAAGTTAAATTCTCAGCTTTGCACTGAGGTTTTTGTACAATCTGAAGAGCACTTAAAGATGAATCCTCCCCAATCCCATCTCTCTGCATTCAGTCAGGGTTGCACTGTTTATGCTTTCTTGTTAAGGTTAAATGAATAAATAAATCAAATTCTCCTCTGAAAACATTTTAAGCTAAATGTTAGGCACAAAGACAGTGTAACAGCTGGGCAGACATCATGTTAAAAAAACTCATTTAGAAGGCACAATGTTGATTCTTCTCACTTTCCTCTTTTCATAAATCCTTCCTTTATTTAAGGTAATTGGGCTTTCTGGGATAAGTGCTGCCAGCTGTTCTCAGAATACAAACAATATTCGGGATTTTGACACTGAAGAGTAAAGTGGGAGAACGGTACACACATTGAAATACTAGCCAAACCCCTGATTGCAATCGGCATAAAAAAGGATCAGTCCGAGCACATATGTTGCGTATTTTGAAGTATAAGCCAACTTCCATATGTTCCATTGCAGTTGAAAAAATAAAGCATGTATTTCTTTTCACTTAATAACTGTTGAACAGTCATAAATAATCAAAACAGCAATAATAATCTGTGCTTTATTTTTATGTTGCATTTGATTTGTGACTCACTCACAGAATCAGGGCACACATTTAAATTAGGGTGATGCAGTATTTCTGATTCAAAGAAAAAAAGATGCAACTGCTCTAATAAATTGTCAGACTCTCTTCTCTGTACACCCCAGAGCATCTTTTCCCCTTCAGATCTGAAGCATTGCATAGCCCTAATATAAGTTACAGTAATAAGAAATAAAGCTCAGCCGCAGGCTATGCAATTCTGATTGGAACATACATTATATGCCTTGCCCTAAAGTAATTCTTCCAACTTTAGTGATCACCAAAGCTGGGCATGTTGACATATTCACTTCTGAAGAATATCAAACGTTAAGCTGCAGCCTAATCAAACTTCCCCTCTTGCAGTCAGTATTGAAAATAGTGAACAGGAATTCTGATTAATAATACTAGAAGGAAACGAACAAGTTAATAATACTTCAAGAGAACACTTTCAAATAAGGCAGATGTGTATAAATAACATTGAAGAAAGCAAACTCTAGCCCAGCTCTTCAGAGAGGACAGCACAGTGATCTTTTGGGGGCTCCATCTGATCCCAACTTTGAGAACTGACATCCATGTCAGCAGTGTAAAAATCTCCACAGTCCAGCCAATGAAGCATCATTTGGATGCATAGGCAATGGAACTTCTTCAGTTTCAGTGTTAAAAACTATGCAAGGTGATAAGTGAAGAAGTAACAATAGTTATAGCTAGATTATAGATGGCTTCTTTTTATGTTTATATATTTTCTAATATTGGATGCAGCTGTTGGTTGAATGAATCATAGATTGCTAGTGTTGGCCCAGGATTGATGATATACAGGCTGAAATCTCTACTCAGTTGGGAAATTCAATGGACAATTCATATCTCTCGGCTTACCTTATTTACTGTATCCCAGTCTTTCCTGGAGAAAGCTTCAGCTTGTTTGTCTTCAGACACCTACTTAAGTTTTCTACCATCTGTATGAGAGTATTTGAAGGAAAAAGAGGGGAAAAAGATTGTGTGCCCTAACCACGGATCGTCAGCTCAGAGTCCAGCTGGTTCATATAGATTTCAGTGAAGTATCTCACATTTTATTAGCCATGAGGAAAACAGAAGTCTTCCATACAATGTGGACTCTAGGACAGATGAGAGCCATGGTCATCCCACTGTAAAACTATTGAAAAAACATTACTCAATAATATAAAAGTTAATAAACATCCAAGCAAATTAAATCCATCGCACTCCACTGTCTTGTGCAAATTATCTTCCAAGGCAGTTTCCTTCCCCACCCAGGTTGGAATGAAGATTAGGTTTAAAGTTATCCAAATTTAAAACTAAACTGATTTAAAACAATCCCTTTTAAAGAACTGAGCAAAGCAATAAAACAAGTAAGAAGAATTCTGATTGTTTGCCATTAACCCTTGTTTTTTGTGAAGCAGAGAACTCATAATTATTTGCTACTGGATGTTCCTGACACTCGAGAACAGCTAGTCCATTATCGGAATGCAGCAGAAACAGCCAGCAGTGAGCTTGCCGCACTCCTAGTGAAGTACGAATGTGCTCAAGCAGAGGTATGTTTTGAAACAAATGTTTTCCCCTGCATGAAAATATTTGTAAATAACAGAGTATGTTTATTGCATGGCACATACCATTAAATGCTTAATTAAAGCTCTCTTCTTTGGTACAGTGCTTATGCATTTTAGCTATTACATCCTGTCCAGGGGTGGGTTCTAGCCAGTTACTTCTGGTTTGCTTGTATGCATGCTGGATGCACGCTGCGCGCGCATGCACAATTCAATAGAAATTGTTCTGCGCATGCACAGAACTCCCCCAGAAAAAGATGGCGGTGGCGACAGCGGCGACCAGGGAACCGGTTTGGGTGACCAAGGCTGGCATATCACTACCGGTTCAGACGAACTGGTCCAAACTGGTAGGAACCCACCATATGTTTTTTTTAACACTTCCAAATTTTCCATCAGGCATTCTAGAATCATAGATTTGGGATGATTCAAGAAGTCAACTAATCCATTCCCCTGCTTGGTGCAGGATCTTTTAAAACATTTTTGGGCAAGTGGCTATCCAGCCTTTCTCTATCCATCCTCCTCCAATGAAAGGGGTTGTACCACTTCATGAGGCAACGTATTCCACAATTTCTTAGTGTCAGTTCTTAGTTCTTAGTTACCAGTCTTGATCTGCTTCCCTATAGTCTCAAACCATTGGTTATAGATCTACCCTCCAGAATATTCCTCTTTTTATGTGACAACCTTCTCCCCTTGTTCTCTTCTGCAAAAAAGTCCAGTTCCACAGGAATGGGTTTTCAATTCTGTCACCATCTTGTTTGCTCCCTTCTAAACCTGTTGCAGTTCCCAAAATTGGACACATTCCAAGTGGAGTCTGATCAGCATATATTAGTCTCTTTTTCAAAAGTTTTATTTTCTTTTAAAACAAACATTTCATCATTCCTCAAAAAGTGAGACATCGGAGTACAATTTTTTT